TTAATTTTTTTCAAGCCTCGTTTAGTATTCTCATTTTCCGCGCGAGTTGGTTGGCGTGATGTCTTTACAGAATTTACCAACTTACTAAAAGTAGATGTGGATGTAAATGGATGCCACTATTGAATATTTAACCTGCGCAATATTCGAGAAATTCATCTTTTTAACCGATATGTGTTCATTTTGCTGACAAAAATGCGAACCAAGACCAGAACTTTTCTTTCGACTTGATATATTTTCAACGTTCAGAAGTGTACACATACTGATTTCCCCTTAGTGTCTTATATTGTCATTGGTTTTCATGAGAAACCGGAGAATTTTTATAGGGAAAAGCCAAGCGTTGCCCTCGTGACTGGCCATTTGTTAACTTTTTTGGTGGTTTTATCTCTCGTTGGTTTGGTGACTACGCAAATATTAATATGTGAAAATCAGATTAGATGAAGACTTGAAATTATATTAGGAACGATTGTGGCCGCTTTGTTAAAAATCAAATGCAATGGCCGCTTTGTTTAAAACAAAAGATATCAAGAAACGGGCAAGGAATATTTAATAGATAATTATTGCGGCAGTCAGCGTTATGAGATATATTGCAGCCAACTGAGGGCGTAGTCTGCCTAATGACCTCTGCCCATCCCACCTCCAGCCCACAAACTTTTTTCCGATCCCCATCACTACGAATGCACAAGTTTTCTTATCACACAACTGCCCAAAAATAAAAGAAAATTTATTCCAAAAGTCTTGAAAGTTCACATAAACCGAATTCATCTGCACCTATATTCAGCAAGTCCAAGAAATCAATTCAAACCTAAGCCATAACATGAATGAGCTGGCTCCAAGAGCCCTTTGATTTTCATTACTTCAAAGTTTCGAGCGTCTCTCTTTCATTAAAAACCAAGACAAAAAACATTCATAGGCATTGTTTTTTTTATTTCTGTTGCGAGCTGCAGAGCCATTCAATGAAATTTGATCACTGAAAGCTTCCTGAACGGGAGGTTTGTGGGGTGGGGGGGGGGGGGAATTGACAATAGGGGGGAGGTGGGGACACAATAGGGACGAGGTAAACAAAGTTGTTGTGGATAACTCTAAAATGGTAATGTGTGCCGGCGGATGCCTACTTCCACAAAGGCCTAGTACTTAATGACGAGTCAGAAGAGCCCCAGATATGAAGGGATGATTGTCGATTTCCTACCTGTTTCAAGACCTTGGGGAAATTAGCTGGCTGCAGGAAGATCAGGATTGGCACCAATTATAAATTCTTTCATCGAAAGATTGGTGGATAGAACTTGGTCCAACAGACTGTAAACAACTCTTATAAAAATTTCTTACAAAGGAGCTCTCTTAAATATAGAGCTAATCATGTTTATCATGTTTATTCGATTAAACGCCGCGGCCTTTATTAAAATTTTCGTGATTCAAGTGCGATGTTTATTCGAGGGCGGCGTTTATTTAAAATTCAATTTACTTTTTGCAAACAATAGTATGGTAACTGACCATTTTAATTGTAAAAAACAAAAACACGTTCTAGTGCTTGTCCTCAATTTCACAATCTGCGTGTTAATACTACTGCAATACTTAATGTGAAATAAAGTGAACATAGTTCACCCAATTTCAATGTCTCTGTCCTCTTCATGATCCGAATCCAAAAGATATAATGACGGATGTGCTCTCTCAAAATCAGAACCGGTACATTCAAAGGGATTTGTGCCTTGCTTACTCAGAACTTGCAACTGCGATAGAAGCAATAATCGTGCACTGCCACAAGGCTGTCGTTCCTTGGGGCAGTGAATCATGTCGTCCACGGGAAGGTTCAACATGCAGCTCGAGAGAGTTTTTTTATTACCTCTGTGGGTAGCTCTGCTCAAGAATCAAGAATTCACTCCAAAATGGTACTTTTCGGGGATAATTTCAAATTTCAGCAGCTGTTTCTTCGTGAATTCCCACGGTACCCAGCCAATCATTCCTTTTAAGTGCAAGTGGCCTTGAACGGCTTGTTCCAAGAAACGTCCGGTGCCTGGATATACTTGGTGGACCCTTCTGGCACTATTACTTGATCGATTTTTTTTTCCGACTGCAATACGTAAGCAATACTATCTTCAGTTTTGCAGTCGAAGAAGTTCCAGGCTAAAAGTAATCAACCACCAACCTGTATTTCATTGCCCTAGGGCCTGTTTACATGAATGTGGGGGACCCCAGGTAGGTGAGGTGACCCGCCTAACCGTGGGCTAAAAATAGCCAGCGTTTACATACAATCTTACAACCCCGGGATGCCAGGATGAAGTTTCTCGAGGTTGTTATCACACTTGCAATTAAGGAGTTTAAGATGTCACTAGGACGTGTCGTAAAAACGTTGCAGAAAAAACGTAATTAATTTTCCTCTAAGATTTTGGCCAATAGCTCGATGCGTTAACCGTTTCTGACAGTACAACGTCTTAACTTTGGCATAACGTGTGAATGTAGTGTTGAGTTAAAAGTAAAAACGTGACTAAATCGCTGTCGAGGTTTTATTGCTAAGTGGATGTAAAAATTGATGTTTTAACGTTTTAGTTCTGCATGGGAAGACCAAGAAATGTACAAAGTCTTAACACACTCGTGTTTCGCTGTTGTTTTCCTTATTTGATCCTTTTGTAACATGAACGGCGCCCCGCGTGGGCGGGTTAACCGACCTTGAGACGTTTACATGGCAATGTTGCCCCCTTGCTGACAGGGTTACCCTACCCAGCAGACTGGGCAACCCGCCTAGACGGGTCGCCCCACCTATCATGTAAACGTGATCAAGATGAAATAATAGATTATATGGACAGGCGGGTTACCCAGCTAGGCGGGTTACTTCACCGATCTGGGGCTCCCCATCTCCTTGAAAACAGACCCTCAGTAGTCATCGGTCTGCTTTTTTGAGTCTATTATTCGAATAAGAGTCGCGTAATGATTTGGTATTTATTCGGGGGCGGCGTTTATCAATATTTTTGCTTTAAAATACGGCAGTTACTCGAGGGTGTTTCATCGAATATAACGTAAACCGACTCATATAATGCTCATAAAAAATTGATCGATTCTAAAATAGAACAGGACAGTTGTAAATGCATTTTGACCCTCTCGATGAGCAGTTTGGTGTACAGTTAAACATGATTTATTTCTGTGTGATTTGTTGAGGACCGACATCTTTCAGTGTACCAATCTCAATCAGCGAAATAGACCAGTTTGTGCGCACGTGTACACTATAGTACATGAAGAAGCCTAAACTTAAGAGAAGTCAGTAATTTTCAAGAATCCGGCGACACAAGCAAAAATTCAAATTTTTTTATTTGCTCCAAAAGGCCCTTTTGGTGAATTGTTTTCAAAAGTAATATTCAAAAGTTCCAGCGAGTTTTTATTTTGGCAAAAAATACGAAAGTTCGAAATCGGCCAAAACGTACCTAATTTTAATCATTGGAGTGACATGCTATGCTCAATGTAAATAAAACCGCAAAGATTTTGTAATAAAGGTTTTTTTTACTGGCGACATTGTTTACTGTACTTGGTTTGTGGGTGTAGACTACTCAAGAGTTGTAACAAGTAAGACTTGGGGTCGGGGAAGGGTTGGGAGGGTAATCTTCTGTGAGGTTACCATGCGTCAAAGGAATCTATCTTACAGGAACGTTTAGTTGAAGCTTCTCGAGGTAAAAAAAAAGAGGAAAATATCTTCCCGTTCACCTGATTATGATTTCATTTTGATGAAATTACGCCCCCCTGAGTACTGCAAAGAAAAGACAGTTTTCTTTTCTTATTTTCAGTAAGTAACAAATTTTCGTTTTAACTGTCCGCCATTACACTGTATCAGTCATTATAAAAATGAGTCATCCTCGTTTAAGTTGTCCAGCTTTGTTAGGTTAAGTTCCAGACGAATCACTTGTAGAGACCTCAATTGGGGTTACCGTTTAACACAGGTTGAGCAAGAAACTCACAATTTATCGGAAGACGTGACTTATCACTCATTTTTGTCTACTGTTGCCACTCATTTTTTCGCAACAACAGCGAACAATGTTTCGTTCCCTTTTTGCAATCAAGTCGTACAAGTACACAAGGGCCGGACCGCTTTTTCACGTCGTCTTTCTCCGTGGTTTTTCGGCCTTACGATTACCCACGCAGGGCCGGACGGGTCCTATAATAAATTTTACCGCAACTTGCAGGAATGCCGTTGTCGATAAGAGCACAGTAACGAACTCTAGTCACGCACTGGAAGAATCGTTTTATTCAACGTCAATATTGTGGTAACAAATATGTCGAAAGTGGTTTGGCGTGGTCAGTCCTCTAATCGACAACGATATTTGTTAGATCTTGTTATCACTTTGCTCAAACTTTGTTGCGAACTCACGAGGCGCAGCCAAGTAAGTCCACAAGATTTTGACCACTGTGATGATGAATATCGTTGTAGATAAGAGTACAGACCAAGAGTGTCGATTTATTAAATTGAATATGGCTGATGAATTTGTTGCGACTCTTGTGGGAATAACTGTTCAATTACATTTCTTGAAATTTCAGGGTCATTGGCTTTTAGTTAAATCCGGTACCATGTATTCTGTGCAGTATATCCACGAGTTCATCATAGTGTTACTTTGATCTATCTTTTGGTGATCTGTATTTACACGTAGGAGTCGGAGTCACGAGTAAAACTATTCTTGATTCAAATTATGGTTTTCTGTTTTTTACAAGAACCAAATTGAACCGCGCACTCTGCGGGTATTGGGCCTGGTTACTCAGCTGTTTTTAAAAATGGCGGCGCGTAAAGTCGTATCTTAAAAGTCGTATCATAGAAGTCGTATCATAAAGCCAATGAACGGAGGGTTACTCTTGGGAACGCTAATAAATATAAATTGAAGTTTCTAGTAAAAATTTTAAAATGTACATTTTGATATGGCACGTGGTATGTGTTTGGAGCCGGCTTCCTTTTTTTTCCACAAAACTGGTCAACAGCAGTAGTTATTATCTGGTCATGCGCAAACTCCTTTCACGTGCGCCTGGTAGAAATTACTTTGAAAGATTTCCTGAGATATACGGACTATGATGTTTTAGCTCGAAAAATGGGTTTAGCGACACTGTTGATCCAGCGATCTGGACTTCGTCTTCTTTCTCGTAATGTAAGATTTGCAACCTTGATGTTTAGACTGTAATTTAAGTTTTTGTTAATTTTTACGAAACGAGAATCCTCAATCACGAAGAAGTGAAAAGCTTACATAATCGTACATCTTTCTCAAACAGTTAGGACTATCGTATCGGTTGTGATTTGTTAAAATCAGAAAGTTATAGAAGTTATAGAACGAGAGAATCAAAAATCAAAACAGTAATATGATTTTAAACTGATTATTTTCGTATTTTGATTAATATGGGAAATAATGAATCCAGATTGAGTTCAATATGATATTAGGGAGTACAAGTTGCTCGTATTTGTTTCCTTTGGTTAGTAATTAATCCTGAATCTTACGAACGAATGCTTTTATTTCGTAGGTGAAGGCTCGGTTTTTTGCCTCTGAAGCAACGGTGAGTGCTCAACTTTCTCAAGGAGGTCGACAGTTTTTGACTACATTTTCACCGGTGTTAAAAATGTATATATTTTATTTATTTTATTACAAGCAACAGTCTTTCAAAACTGTCGGTGAAAATGTTCCTTTGAGTTCAACAGTCAGTGGTAACTTTCACAGACTGTTCATTAACCCTCTGACTCCCAGAAGTGATTAACATGTCACTTCTCCCTTCAACATCCATCCATTATCCAGCAAACAGTTAATGAGAATACTCAAACTTATCTGGTATCTTGATCAAACACCAAGTTCTTATTACTAAAGTAAAGTAATTTTGATTTCCCCCAAATTTTCTCTTGCAAACCTACTGATTGTTTAGGAATGCCAAGCTACTCCAAAAATTATTGTGGTGTTTTATAGGACAAATTTTTTTTTAAGCATCCTATGAAATCGCTAGGTGAGAAATGTTTCAGAGTTGTTGAAAACCTTGCAATTTTATAGTATGCATCTGCTCTGATAATTTGTGCTCTATAGTAAAAAGCCAAAATAATTTTTGGAATTACTTAATAATTAATATTTCTAAACTAATATTTGATACTCTAAAGAATAATCTTTCAGTAGAAATTCTGTGAAAATATTTGACTACCTAGCATTTAAACACAGCCTTATCTTTTATTCCCAATGAATGATATTCTCCTGTTACTTTACCCTATTTCCAGCTACTACTAACATTAATTAGCAAAAACTTAAATTTTTTTCCTTAGTGTTCATTCATGAATACAGGCCCTTGAAATTGGGGAATTTTTTATTACTGGATGCCATGCGTATTTTTGAAACATTTCTTTTCTACGATCAGCAGTAATGTTGCAATTTGATTGGCCAATTTGCTGTTGTTGATAAGAGCACGAGCAGCGCTGCTTGCATCAACTGGTCATGCAATACCTTTATCACTGAAAGAATCATTTTGTTTGACATCATTATTGTGGTAAAAAAGGAATTGACAGGGGTTTAGCATGGTCTCTATACAATGATGTTCATCATCACATTGCTCAAAAGTTTTTGCTGATTCACCTTGCTGGGCCACATGAGTCTGTAGCAAATTTTGACCTCTGTGATAATGAATATCATTGTTGATAAGACTACAGATCATGCTAAACCACTTTCAATTTGTGAATTGGGCATGGCTGTGTACATTGGGCATACATGTAACATTGTCTCCTTTTTTTGACAGAAGGATGTGTCAAAAATCAGAAATATTGGTATATCTGCCCATATTGACTCTGGAAAAACCACACTCACAGAGAGACTTTTGTTTTATACTGGAAGAATCAGTCAAATGCATGAGGTGAGAACAATGGACTTTGATTTGCCTTTAGAAATGCTTTCAACATTACCAATCCTACTTTGCAGGATGCATCTCACATGTGGACCTTGTAACAATTGAGCTCACAGCAAAGTCTCTGTGACTCAGTAGTAGATCATCAAAGTGGTGAATCTGAAGGTCTGAGATTCTATTCCTCACAAGGATTCTAAATTTTTTTTTAGTGCCATGCTCATGACTAGAGGAAAAAAAAATCTTTCACTAATTGACTTTGATGTTTGTTTTAACAGTTCAAAGTTTAATTTCCATGGGTTTTGCATGATTATACAAATAATGATTTTTGCCCTGTGGTTTCCTGTTGAAATCTTTACTGCAGTTTTTTTTCCTTAGTGTGTTATGGATCAAAATTTACTTGAAGTTTAAGTGATATCAAACTTCTGTAGGTTGATAGGAATTCTGACAAGACCAAAAAAATTTTTTCACTAATGGATTTTGATACACATTGTAACAGTTCAAAGCCAATTTCCCATGGGTTTTGAGTGATTATACAAATAGTGATTTTTGCCCTGTCTCAACATGTGTTGTGGATTGAAATTTACTAAAAGTTCAAGAGGTGTCAAACTTCCATAGGTTGAAGAGAGTTCTGATAATATCTCTGAAACAAAGACTTTGTTAATAGCAAGTTGATGTACAGTTTAAACCACAGCTTCTGCAATCAATTATTTCTAAATAGCAAAGGTTTGACAACTTGCAGTAATAATATTTGATTGTGTTGTCTGATTGTCTGGGTTAGAGTAGGCCTGGAAAGGACTGCTGTTGGCAGTAAAGATCGATGATTTGACAACCTTGGTGGAAGTCACCACTTGTGTCAAATGATTATGACTTTATGACTTCCACTTGTTATGGATAGTGACTGTAGAAATAAGTATCTAGACATTTTCTGGTAAGAATGTTTTGTCATGCTGAGAAGCATTCCATGGAACATAACAGAACATTTCATTAGGTAATGAAGTCATGATATAATACCAGTCCACTGAGATAGTCGTGTTGTAAGTTTCCGGAATGTTCTAGAATACTTTGTAAATGTCTATAAGGACTCAGTTGTGTAGTAGTAGTTGTTGTTGTCAGAAGTGAATGACTGCTTGGAAAGCTATACACAGAGTGAGAGGGCTATTGTGAAGATTGTTTAATTCAAGGAACTTTGGAGAAAACTGTGAGTTTGTGTCAGTGGTGAGGCAAGACATAGAATGTTGTGGGCTTAAGTAAGTTTATTGAGGATAATTACTGTATTTCCTATTGGACTTGCTCTGCATTAAAAATATTAAAAGTTGTTTAATAAAGTAGTGAAGTCTAAAGGAGTATAACATTCTTTCTGTTTGTTAGATTATATTGTAACACACTGGTATTGTTAAAACTTGAGTCACTTCTACCAACAACAGTCCTTCAGGGAACCACTCTCACCAGTATGATCAGACTTCTTATGACAAACAAATGTGAAGATACAAGATACATAATCTCACTGTAGCTCCAAGCATTAATACAGTAAATCTCAGATATCCTCGCCCATGCCATTAGATTTGGTTGTTTGGTTATCATCCTTATTTTCT